CATATGATTGTTGGGTTTTTCTCTGTATCTATGAAGCGCCTTGAGGCGACTTTTGTTGTGATTTGGCGCTATATAAATAAAATTGAATTGAATTGATTGATCGAGGTTTTATTTACTGAGATAAAAACCCAACAAGAGAGATTGCTCTCTGACTTGTGCGCTTAATCACCGCATCTAAACAGAAAACGTGTCCTTAACAACCACAAGACTTTTATGTCCTTTGGGCAAATGAGACCAAAGTGGAGCTGTCTGGCCGTACTACACAGCACCGTGTTCACAGCATATCAGCACAAACACCTCAAGCATGGCGGTGGAGGGGTGATGATTTGGGCTTGTTTTACAGCCACGTTACCTGGGCACCTCACAGTGACTCACAAAGTCAATGAACGTGTTACAATCATCCAGTCAAAGTCCAGACCTCAACCTGGCTGAAATGCTGTGGCTGGACCTTGAGAGAGCTGTGCATAAATCAATGCCTGCTAAATTAATGAACGGAAGCAACATTGTACAGAAGAGTGAGCCAAAATTCCTCCACAAGAATGTGAGAGACTGATAAAGTCACACAGATAATGATTACTTCAAGTTATTGCTGCTAAAGATGGTTCTAAAAGCTACTGAACGATAAGGTGCACACAAAAATTCCTATCTACAATCAGGGAATATCAGCCTCCCTTTGAACTGATAATCATGTTATTAAGTAATGTGTAATGTAATATGTATTATAAATCTGTACGTTTTAATATAACACACATTTATATAAATCTACTGAAAATAAGCAAAAAATAATACAAATAGACAACTCTGATGAGCTGTGGTTTGCACAGAAAGATTATCTCATAAAAATGTATTCATAAAACACTGCAAGAAAAAAAAAGACCATCAGTTTCACAACAACACAGTGCATGACTCTTAATGTCATAGTTATTGTTACTGGTGAGCCAAAGAGAGCATCCTACTATCTCACTGGGGAGATGCCAGCACAGGCAGCAGGCTGCTGGTAAGTGCTAGTGGTTTCCACCGCAGATTGAGCTAACAGACATATAGTGCACTCTTAATGGACGTATAACACCCCTAAACCCACTGCGGTCCGATGAACACCTCCCCGAGTTTCCTGTAAGCTTCAAAAAAAAAAAAAAAGGTAACTGCAGAGACAGTGACAGGATAGTTTTCTGATTCCTCTGCAGCTACATGGGTTTTTATTATTTCTTTGCACAATATCAGCTCAAAGTTTCAAAGTTGTGACTGATTTATTTACATTAATGCATAATCACGTGAGAGTCCGAAAACAATTACTTGATTTAGCTATATACCAGAGATTTTGTGCCTCAGGACTTTTGGTAATTTACAACTTTTTGAGGAAGAAGAGAGAAAATAAACTTTCTTTTTTTTAATGGAAGTCCTGGAAAACATTGAGTCAAGTCATGTCAACTGGTGCCTTGGATTAATTTTGTACAGTTTGATTTAGCACAAAAACAAAGCTCACTGAAAACCAAGTGAACCTTCACAAGCTTCATCAAATCCTGTTTAATCCAGTTTTTCTCCCTTTCACTTTTAGTGCAGAGATTTGTGCTTGTAAGCATCAATAAATATGGTCAGCATGGTTCATTAGTATTCTTGTAGCACTTAATCTAAGTGGGATAAAACCTCACTGGAGAATCATTCGGACGTAAGCAAGGAGTGCCAGCAGCGCAGTGCTGTGACTTGTTTGCACTGAGAGCATCGACGCCTGGAAATGTTTCCATGTTTGTAGTTAACTACTGTCACATGGGCAGTTTGGCACGATGCATTACCTGATTGGTGTGGGAAAACTCTTTGGTCACGTGATTTCATCACTTTTGTTTATTCGAGGGAGGAGCACTCACACACGAAACCTGTGTGTGTCAACTCTTTGGCCCGTGATGCATCCACAGATAAAAATAAACCCTTGACGTCACCAACATCTACCTCTACATGGAAACCAAATAGCAAACCAAATCAATTGCATTAATGACATCTTAGTCAGGAAGGTGTTTTGTTTTGTTGTTTTGTGAATGCATTTTTACCTTCCTACTAAATATCTCTTGTACATCAAGCAGTCTTATGCATAAAGCTACGATTCTGGTGTTTTCTTTCTTCTTGGACAGCGTGCATAAGTGCAGAGAAACAAAAAACATTCTTCTCCTCTGCTAATGAGAAGAAACTTTCTTTAAGACTTCTGTGCGCAAAACAAGTCCTCGATTTTGCCTAAACTTAAATCTGATTAGGAATTGTTGTTCAAAAGACCAAATGTGACATGAAAGATTCAAGCTTAGGGACAAAACCTACTGAGGATCTGCACCTAAAAATACTTTTATTTTCTCCTGCTGCCCGGAGCTTAACAGCATAGGCTGGTTGTACATTTCACACAACTCTTAACACAGCAACTCTCTCTCACACCTCTCTGGAGTGTTTTTTCATTTCAACCTTTTCCCACCCGACGCAAAATCAAGCACACAGATTTTTACACTGGTCAAAACAGCTGGTGAAAACAAAGACACATTTAGCAGCTACGTTTGTGATCTAGTCTTTTGTACTTCGCCTTGATGTTTGAGCCTCACCGTACAGTCTAAAAATACCCCCCATCCCCTAAAACGTATCAATATTCCTGATCTTGTTTGGAATGTTTTTCATCTCATCGTGTTTTCAGTTGATAAAAGATCTTGACTGCAGGCATTCCAGTTTAGCATCCAGACTCTTCTACTATGAAGCCATGCTACTGAAACAAATGCAGTATACAATTTCAAATTGGCCTTAGGGTTAAAAATATATTCCTCTAAAACGTTTTCAACATTCATGACACATTTCCACATATTCCTCCTGAATGACAAGTCTGCTTTTCACTCTGAAGTATTTGGGCTCCATGTTTATGGGCAGAAATCTGTGCCATCAGAAACTAAATTTGAATAAGTTAAATTTGAATTTGAATTGCTCAGATTGAATCTGAATTGTAACTTGAATAAAAGCTTTTGAAAACTGAATTTGAATTAGTCTAATTTGAAATTGAATTTATGGTTTGAAAATGAATTGATTTGCTTTGAAACTGCATTTTATCCTTTAAAAATTCAGCTCTCGAATAATTTCATTTTCACTTCTCGCCATTCAGTTTCAGTTCCAAAATTTTGGGACTTCATCAGGTGTGTAAGACATAAATAAAGCTAAAACACAAAGGTTTGGACACCGTTTTGCATGTTTCCCTACTGGGGTCTCTGCAAGCATACAGGGCTCTGACAGGGTCCAAGATGACAACTTTGGAATTCTACTAGAAACAGTCGATCATATTTGTTTGTCAAAGCTGAATCCAGGGCAAACTACGCTAAATTAGCGTTTTTAGCTAGCAGCTACAATAAGCATAAAAGTTACTGTAGGGCTATCATTTGTTAACATGACGCTTGTTCTTATACATGTAATACATTTATTACCAACCTGAGAGTTTATCCGCTGGTCATTCGACATGACGAATGACTTCTGAAGTCTTAATTCAGCTCAAGATGCTGTAGAT